CAGAAAAAGCTGGAAGTGGCGCTGTGGCTCAAGTGGTAGAGCGCTAGCCTTGAGCTGAAGAGCTGAGGGACAGCGCCCAGGCCCAGAGTTCAGGCCCCAAAACCGACAAAACAAAAAGATTACAGGTTTGAGTAAAGAAAATTGCGTGCAGAGTGCCGCTGCTCTCCTGCCCTGGGTTAGCGCAGGTGGCGGCGTAGGTGCGGGGCGTGGTGTGGAGAGTCACGGCTGCCCGGCCTGCCGCCTCCACCCACCACTTCCCCGGACCAGCGCTGCTCACTGTGCCCGGCTGGCTGTGTCCCACGCCCTGCGTGAGCTAGGGGCTTGCTCTCACTCCGTGTCCTCAGGGCGGCATCTCCATGGGTTACCTTGGCTTTTGTGAGTGTTAACCCAAAAGTCTTACTGTGTGTGTAGAAAAATGCACTAAAAGGTTTCAGCTTAAATATTCGATGCACTGAATTGGGGAGGCCCGCCCTCCAGGGGACCACGGTCCCCAGGCTCTGCCACGTCCTCAGCACAGACAGATATGTCTTCCTGTGTCATTTGGGAGCAGGCTGGCCCCCAGGAGGCCTGCCCGCTGGCTTGTGGGTTTCTGTTCTGGTTGGGACATTCATACAGTCTGCGGGGGTGAGGATGAGCAAGGTCTCAAACAGATAGCTTTCCCTTGTGTGTTGCCTTTCAAAACAGGGTTTCATTGATAGGCCAGGTTGGCCTTGAAGTCTTGATCCGCCTGCCTCAGCCTCCTGAGGGCGGAGATAGTAGGTATGCACAGGTATGCCCAGCATTGAAGAGGTAGCTTTACTCACACAATGTTATGGCAAGGTCAAATTGGGTACAAGGTAGATCTGGTTAGAGAAACAAGGTCCTTCAGAGTGAGGAGGACATGATGATTCAGTGGAAAAAAAAACAAAAACACAGCACCTGAAGCTAGGTGTGGTGTCCCAGGCCACCTGGGAGGCAGAGATTGAGGTTTGCTGCTTGAGGCCACTTCGGTCACAGTTTGAGTCAGCATCTCAGCCAGCGCCTGGGTGTACTGGTGTGTGCCTACCACCCAGCACACAGGGCACAAGGATTGCAGTCTGGGCTGGCCTGGGCATAAATCACGAGCCTGTCTTGAAAGTGACCGATGCAAAAAGGGACCGGTGCGCGACTTGTGGTAGAGAACCCACTTACCAAGCTCCAGGCCCTGAGTTCAACTCCAGTGCCTCCGACAACAGAAATGAAAAACTGCAGGGGACACAGAGGCTTGGGCAAGGAGAGTGGAGAGACTTCATAGGGGGTCAGAAATCTGCATTTGACTGGATTTGGGAGAATGTATGGCACTGGTGCTTGAACTTGGGACCTTGTACTCTTAGTTGTCTTTTTGCTGCAGGCTGGCACTTTACCATTTGAGCCACAGTGCCATTCCTGGTTTTTCTGGTGGTTAATAGAAGGTAAGAGTCTCACAGAACTTTCCTGCCTGGGCTGGCTTTGAACCACGATCATTCAGATCTCAGCCTCCTGAGTAGCTAGGATGACAGGCGTGAGCCACAGGCGCCCTGGCCTGAAATCTCACTGTTGACTGTGTTAAAGGGTGTCAGGAGAAGAACTGGAGTATGAAGAGCTGTAACATGTACGCTCGCTCACGGTTTCATGGGTGTGGACCTGGGACACAGCGTTCCTCACATTTCACTACACTCTTTGGTATTTTCCTTTCTACCCTGTTGGTCTCTCGGTGTCTTGAGCTGTCCTAATCCTTGTGTTGAGGTGAGACTTTTGCTGGTTGTGATTATTTCCAGATCAGATGACGGCTGGATTTGCCAGGAATGAAGGAATCAATAGCACTTTTGTTCAGACCCTGGAAGTAGACTTTGAAGGTCTTTGTCTCAGTGCGTCGTTGGTAGCCAAGAGCTTTCCCATTGCCCGGTGCACACAGCGCTGCGTTTGGGGTCCTGGGAGATCTCTGCTCTTCACTCGCTCCGACCCCTGTCATTTGGGGTTCTGTCCACAGGGCTCAGGGCTCAGATTTGTTCCCTGGGTTGTCAATTCCTTTGGTATTTATCTCGATCTCCATCTGTGCCCTCTAGGTCTGTCCATCTGTCTGTCTAGTCATCCATCTCTTCCTGTTCTTCCGCAGAGCCCTTTGCACTCTGACTGGATCTCTGGGTGCAGGTGTCGTGTAAGGCCATGGGTTCGGTTTCAATTCTGGGCTGCACAGCCTGCAGCAGGCTCAGGCCCCTCCATCTGCACCCCAAGAACCACGCCCTGCTCAGGAGATTGCCCAGGCTGCTGCTGCTCGTCCGCTGGCTTCCCCCGGGGGGGGGGCGTGCCTACCAGAGCGGGTGCGTGATGTTTCAGGTCTCTGTGTACCCGCACAAAAGTTGTTTTTAAAATGAAGTTTAAAAAAATGTTTTGGCTGGGTGCCGGTGGCTCACGCCTGTCATCCTAGCTATGCAGGAGGCTGAGATCTGAGGATCGAGGTTCAAAGCCAGCCTGGGCAGGAAAGTCCATGAGAATCCTCTCCAGTAAACCACCAGAAAACCAGAAGTGACGCTGTAGCTCAAGTGGTAGAGCGCTGGCCTTGGGGAGAGCAGGGCCCAGCCTCCGTCCCCTTCCCTTTCCCTTCCCCGTCCTGCCACCTCGGTGAGACTCGGTGCAGCATTCTGTGGTGAGACTCGGTGCAGCATTCTGTGGTGAGACCCGGTGCAGCATTCTGTGGTGAGATTCAGTACAGGCATTCTGTGGTGAGACTCGGTGCAGGCAGGCATTCTGTGGTGAGACCCGGTGCAGCATTCTGTGGTGAGACCCCGTGCAGCATTCTGTGGTGAGATTCGGTACAGGCATTCTGTGGTGAGACCCGGTGCAGCATTCTGTGGTCGTTCTGGGCCTGTCTTAGGCTCAGTCCTCCTGTGAAGGAGCGCTGGTCCCTGTCCCACCCCCTCCCTGCGCCAGGGCCTGAAACAACCTGGCTTAAACAGCCCTGGACCGGACCTCAGCCTCTGTCCTCCAACTCCTCTGGCACTGCTGGAGAGAGGCTTTCCATGCTGGGCATGCTTAGAATGGGGCGGGGGGCGAGGGGGGTTCGTGCCTGGATGTGTGAGAATCGGGGACTGGAGCCAGCCTCGTGCTGGGAACCCGGCCGGGCCCTGGTGTCGCAGCAGGACAGCCGGAGCCTGGACCCCAGGCCCGCGCGTGACCACCGAGCCGCAGGAAGGCCCCTGCAGAGCTCCCGCCCGCCCTGTCTGCTTTCCCCCAGGTGCACTACATCCTCCAGGAGGTGGTGATGGGTGGGATGGTGCTGGAGACCAACATGAATGAGATCGTGGCTCAGATAGACGCTCAGAGCAGGCTGGAGAAGTCAGAGGTGAGTGAGCAGCCGCATCCTCGTCATACCTGGGTGAGTGTGCACATGTGCTCCTGGGGGGGGGGGGGCTTGGAAATGCCCTCTAAGCCTCCTTCCCCGATTCCGTGGGGCGGACCCATCGGAAGGCTGTCTGAAAAGGAGGAGGAGGACAAGGAGGCATGGAACCTTAGGCTTTGAAGGCGATGTATGAACAGAAAGACTCTGCCAGAGGAGCAACCTGCTTCTGGATTTTGGTTATTATTTGTGTGTATACGCGTGTATGTGTGTGTGTACACGCATGCTTACACACGTGCGTGTGCATGCCTGCCTGCCAGTAAGTAGTGGGCTTGAACTCAGGACTTCATGCTATCACTCAGCTTTCTTGCTCATGGCTAGCGCTGTTCTACTTGGAGCCATGACACTACTTCCAGTTTTCTGGTGGTTTATTGGAGATAAGAGTCTCATGGACTTTCCTGCCTGGGCTGGTTTGAATCACAATCCTCAGATCTATGCATCCTCCTGAGTAAGTAGCTAGGATGACAGGCGTGAGCCACCAGCGCCCAGCTCAAAGACTGTTCTACATGGGCCGGCCTCAAATGGGGTCTCAGATCCCAGAGCCGCCAGCGCTCACCCTAGTTATGGCTCATTTATTATTGAGAATTTCTTCTCCAAGGCGCATGTTCCCCCAGGGACCCAGAATTCCCTTCTCACCTTCCCCTAGTTTGTGTGTTCTTTGAGCTATTTATTGTGATGTCTTTCAGCCCCAGAGTCCCAGGCTTCCTCGTGCTCAGTTGGCCTTGTGAAAAGCTGCAGCAGAGTTGGGAATCAGGGTTTGAAAGTACCATGCCAGGGGCTGGGAAGGTGGCTCAGTGGTAGAGCGCTTGCCTTGCATGCATGAGGCCCTGGATTTGATTCCTCAACACCACATAAGTGGAAAAAGCCGGAAGTGGTGCTGTGGCTCAAGTGGTAGAGTGCTAGCCTTGAGCTGAAGAGCTGAGGGACAGCGCCCAGGCCCAGAGTTCAGGCCCCAGGACTGACAAAAAAAAAAAAGGAAAAAAGTACGATGCACGTGTGCCCCCCTCATCCCTTGAGATGAACCCTAACCTGTGCAGAAATAGAATAAGCCAGGTGCTGGTGGCTCACACCTCGTATCACTTGAGAGGCTGAGATCTGAGGATCATGGTTCAAAGCCAGCCCAGGCAGGAGGGTCTGCGAGACTCATCTCCAGTTAACCAAAAAGCCAGAAGTGGCTCAAATGGTAGAGTGCCAGCTTTCAGCAGAAAAGGGACAGCACAGCACCCAAGCCCCAAGTTCAAGCCCCAGCATGGGAGCGCATGCACACAGACACACACAGACACACAGACATAGACACACACACACACACACACTACACACTTGGTGCCATGGAAGCTGATCTTCTGAAGCCAGACGTTGTTCTTGGGAACTGTCTGTTCCCTGCACGAAGCCTGGCCAGGCCTCTGCCCTGGTGGACGCACAGTGCTCTGAGCAGTGCAGCCTGGGACATTTCCAGGAACGTGAGTCAGAGAGGAGGGTCTGGAAAGCGGAAGAGCCCAAGGCCCGCTGCTGTGGGGAGAAGGGCCTCGGGAGCCCTGGTCAGCTCTGCTCTCTGCACGTTGGGGTGAGCCTGGCAGTGTCTCTCTCCTGGGGTTTTGTCGCCAAGCTCCCGGTGCCTCCCGGCACCCTCTCCTAGCTCACGGTGGGGCTGACCAGCAGCTGCCCGGCCAGTCTCCATGACCGCGCTCATCAGAGACACAGCTTCTCCAGGAAGGTTTTGTTGTGTTCCACAACTAGGAAAACACCTGTGATTGTGTGTGTGTGTGTCTGTCTGTCTGTCTTGTCTGTCTGTCTGGTCTGTCTGGTCTGTCTGTCCTGGAGCTTGAATGCAGGGCTTGGGTGCTGTCCCTGAGCTTTTGTGTTCCAGACTAGCGCTCTGCCACTTGAGCCACAGCTCCCCTTCCAGCTTTTTGTGGTTAATGGGAAATGAGTCTCGGGGACTTCCTGCCCGCCAGGTTCAGATCCCAGTCAGCCTCCTGAGCAGCCAGCATGGCCCGGCCGCCGTCACTCCTGTGACTCAGAGCACAGTGTAGCGGTGTCCAGCGCGCACCCAGGGCCAGGGTGTAAGGCGCTGTGTAGCTACAACCCACCTTTAAGGAGCCAGGGCAGGGAGGCGCAGGCTCTGGGTCCCCATGAACTAAAATCCTTCCATTGATTACTTCTGCTGAATTTAAGCCTCTCTTGTGTATGCTCAATTCAAAGCTTTTCTACATCTCCCATCTATTTGGTGTTTAAAGAATAGCGTCGGGGCTGGCGGCTCACACCTGTAATCCTAGCCACGCAGGAGGCTGAGATCTGAGGAAAAGTTTGAAGCCAGGCAGACAGGAAATCTGTGAGACTCTTATTTCTAATTAACTGGAAAAAAGCCGGAAGTGGGGTTGTGGCTTAAGTGGTAGAGAGCTAGCCTTGAGCAGAAAAGAAGCCCAGAGGCAGTACCCAGGCCCTGAGTTCAAGTCCCAGGGCTGGCAAAGAGAGGGAAGAGAGAGACAGAGACAGAGTACAGGGGGAGGGGGAGGGGGAGCCCTTGAGGCTGAGAGCAGGGGAGGGGGAGCAGGGGCCGCTGAGGCTGTCCCGCTGTGTCCCCAGGGCGGTCTGTCCGCAGCCCCTGCCCGCGCCGTGTCCGCCGTGAAGAACATCAACCTGCCCGAGATCCCGCGCAACATAAACCTTGGCGACCTCAACATCAAAGTCCCCAACCTGTCCCAGTTCGTGTGAGCCGCACAGTTCCTCAGCCGCAGAGCCTCCACCTGGAGCCAGATGCGGCACCTCTGGAGAACGGGGAGCACCCCCCCCGCCCTGCCTCCCCGCACCCCACGGCCCCTGTGGTCATCCCCAGCTGCTGCAGGACAGGGACTGTGTGGGGGCAGAGCCTCCAGTGCAAGCAAGTGTCTGACTAGAACCTTCCTCAGCTCCTGGGCTTCCGTGGCCTGTAGACACAGTGGGGCGGGGCAGTGCCGCGTCTGCTGTGGGAGAGGCAGCCTCCCGAGTGGGCCTGGACGAGCTGGCGCAGGTGAGCGGACCGGGCCCCTCTCTCGAGTCTCCCCACGCCCACGTCCCTTCGCCCTGAGATGGTAAAATGGGAATAAAGGCAGGAAACGCACTTCTTGCGTGGCCGAGCCCAGCTTCTTCCGCCCCCCTGCCCAACACGGCCTCCCCCAAGGTTGATCTCCCCACAGGTCCTACGCAAGGAATCTGCGTTTCCAAGCCCTGAGCACCCCACAGGCTGCACAGAAGGCAGCCTGCTTTCTGAGGGGCTGGGCGCGCCCTGCACCCCGAGGCCGGTGGACGGCCAGCCCCGGTTCACCCTCAACCTCTACGGAATTGCACCACCGCCCACAGAAGAGACCGGTGGGGAAACGGCCCTGCAGCGGCCAGGCCTTTCCTGCTTCCCTTTTTCGCTTCAAAAAGGAAACACATTCCGTTAGTTCTAACTGTAAGAAAACCGGAGACTGCAGCTAAAGCCCCCCCCACCCCCCAGCCGCTGGCCACAGCGGCCGGGGTCCAAGTCAAAGGCTAAAGAAGCAAGTTCCCACTTTGTTATCAAAACAGGGGCCCCGTGCCACCTGACCTCGGGGCCCGGCCTCGGCACTGACCCCTCAGTTCCATGTCCTGGCACACCCATCCACTCTGCTGCCTGAGCCCAGCCCCTGGCGGGGCGGGCACTGGCTGCATGGTCCAGGCCGGTGCTCTGCATCCAGGCCGGTGCTCTGCATCGAGGGAAGGAGGGAGGGAGGGCCGGGTGTGGCCTGCAGAGGGTGGGGAGGACAGAAGGGAACATGGCCCCTACAGAGAGGGAGTGCGTGTCCACCCCCAAGATGGCCCAGGGCATGGCCAGGGAGGACACACAGGACTGCGGCAGGGGGAGAAACTTCTAGACCTGCAGAGGCTTGGGGACAGGGCTTTCCTGCAGAACTAAGAACCTCTGTCCCTCTTCCTCCTTTCCCCTCCCCTCCTCGGTCACCGCGGGCCTCCCCAGCTGGCCACTACAGCCTGCCTTCCTGCACCGGCCCCCTGCCCTGAGGGGGGCCCCAGTGCACACCTGTCCCCATGAGCTACTCGGGAGGCTGAGGATCGTGGGTTGAAGCCAGGTTGGGAGGAAAGTCCATGAGACTTCAGTCAACTACAGAAAAAGAAAAAGCCAGAAGTGGAAGCATTCAGAAGGTGGAGGGGGAAAAGCTCAAGAGCCAATTACACCCCATGGCAGGAGCGTGGCCTGCATGGTAGAACTCAGGCTGGTACGGGGGCTTGAACTCTCTCGTGCTCTTAGCCCTTGAGCCATGCCTGCAGTCCTGCTTCTGTGCTGGTTATTTAGTGCCTGGAGTCGTGAGGACTTTCTTGCCCTGGCTGGCTTCTGGTGGTGACTGAGTCTCAGCGTGGCTGGAGTGGCTGGAATCACAGGTGTGCTCAAGCTTTCCTGGCAACTGGATTGGACTGAGAAGCCGGGGCGGTGGGTAAAGCCTGTTGCTAGGTGTGTGTGTGAACAAAGACGGTACCCTCCCTCAATATGGCAGATGAGGGGTGGAGGGGGGGAGAAGACCATCTCATGAGAATAAAAGGGGAAGCAAGAAGAGGAAGAGAGGGTACGGATGAGGCCCAGGTGAGGCCGGCTCCACGCCCTCTGCGGTGCTGGGAGCAGAAACCCCGGATTGTCTGAGCCAAGACCAACACTTCCTCCCGGAGCTGATTAGCTCAGGTATCAGGCCGCAGGACTAGAAAGTGACTAATGGGCCTCCAGGGTGGTTTCGGGACAGGCCTGGCCTCCAGGGCGGTTTCGGAACAGGCCGAGTCGGGAGGATCCAGCGGCTGTGAGTCTGAAGGGTCACTCAGGTCAGCCCAGCTCTGCCCGGAAAAGGGGAACATGGTGTCCTCAGTGTCCCCGGAGGCATGGGTGGCTGGGGGGGGCAGTTCCTCACCTGAGAAGGGGAGGAGGGGCTGTAGGACCCCAATTCTCAACTCCTTTACCTTGTAGCTATGAATTCTCTCCCAACAACCTCCCGACCCCCCTAGTCTCCCGGTGACTCCTGGAGCCAGCCAGTCCTGCATGCCTCCCGTCTGGGAACTCACTGACACCCTGGGGAGACGGGTCACGGTCTCAGGACCAACAAGGAACTAGCAGGGCAGCTTCACCGCCCAGCATGAGCCCAGCTCTGAGCTCAAAGATGACCCGTGGTTTCAAGCGGGAGACACGTGGGTGTGAGGTGGTGGCCAGGGCTGGCGTCCCTCCATTGTCCCCCCACACACCCAGCTGCGTGGCCAGGAGGGGCTGAGATCATCCCACAGATTGCAGATCACTGCCGTGGACAGCCGGGGGCCTGGGCCAGGACAGGGGTGTGAGGTCAGGTGGCCCCGCCCTGTGACTTCAGCCAGTCACCTGACGCCCCGAGGCTCGAGCGAGCTCCCCCCCCCCAGGCCCTGGCATCCGCATGAAGGCGCTGATCCTTCCCCACCATCTTCTACACTGATGTCTTCCGGGGACTCCGCGGACCTGCCCTCCACTGGGGCTGAGGGGATTGGACGCCACGCCCGGCCGAGGCAGAGATGTGGTTTTGTGGCTGAGCACTGGGCCAATTTCCTGGTTGAACTCTCAAAGCAGTGCCAGAGGGCTGGGCCAGGGTCCTGAACGGCCCCAGTGCCCTGTCAGACTCTGGAGGTGACCACAGCTGTCCGCCGTGGGGACAGGGTGTCCAGAGAGCCCCAGAGCACCCCGCTGTCCCCAGCCCACCAGGTCCAGCCCACACGGTCCCTCACACAGTCCCCTTCCCACTTCCTGACTCCAAGAAAGTTTCCTGTAAAAGCAGCTCCTTGTGGTGATTTTCACCCCTCCTTTTTTTGTTTCCTCCCCCCAAAAATGTGTTTTTAATCAATTTTATAATAAAATCCAAGCTGAATTCTTGAAAGCTGTAGCAATGGGAAATTATTTTTGCAAAGAAAAAACAAACAAAAAAACAGATCTCATAAGTGCTGAGCTGGTCCCCTCCCTTCCCCCCCTACCCCCCCAGGCCTGTCTGCTAAGCACCCCAGACCTCCAAAAGCCCCCAGGTTGCTACCTGCCTGCTGAGCCCTTGCTCTGCTTGCCCCCAGGGGTTCTTCCAAAAACAATTCTGATCCTCTTCTCAAAGTTCACAGGGGCTCAGCGCCCCTAAACAGCCAAAAACACCTATCCCAGCCTTCAAAGCACTAACATGCTGCCAGAGATGGCCACGGTCTCCCATTGTCCACAGCCCCGGCTTCTGCATGTGCTGCTGCTGCTGCTGGTCTAGGGCTAGCTGAGAATCCACAACCCCCAGAGTGAGGAGTTCCAGAACAACGGACGATGGACGGAAGATGCAGACAGACCCTACATTCATCGGGGGCCGACAGACACACAGACGGGGGCCCTCGGCCCCCCAGGCAGGAATTGGAAGTGCAATGCTGAGCTAGACAGAGGGGGTAGATCTGGGCCTTCTGGGAGGCTAGCCTAGCGTGCTTGACAGGAGACAGCACGCAGTCCGCACATGGGTACCCAACACAACACGGGACACCTGCGTGGCTGACCTCCTACAGGTGTGCTGTGTGTCGGGACCATGGGAGCAAGACGGCCACAGACACCACAGACAGGCGTGAGCCCCCAGCACAGGCTACATGAGCCTTTTAAGAATACAAGGTGAGGTGAGGCGCGGGGGGCTCACGCCTGTAATCCTGGCTGCTCAGGAGGCTGAGATCTGAGGCACCAAGTTCAAAGCCAGTCTGGGCAGGAAAGTCTCTGAGACTCGCCTCCAATGAACCACCCCCAAACTGGAAGTGAAGCTGGGGCTCAAGGTGATACAGCGTTAGCCTCGAACAACAACAACAAAAAGCTCGGGGACAGTGCCAAGGCCCTGAGTTCAAGCCTCACAACTGGCAAAAGCAGAAAACAAACCCCCCACCAAGATTAAGTACCTGAATATGGCTTTTGTAGCCTGCTTTTATTACCGATGGCCTCTCCTGGAGATTGTTCCATAAAGAGCGTTGAGTTTTTTTTTTTTTTTGTCGGTCGTGGGGTTTGAACTCTGGGCCTGGGTGCTGTCCCTCAGCTCTTCAGCTCAAGGCGAGCGCTCTACCACTTGAGCTACAGTGCCACTTCCGGTTTTCTGGT